TAGTTCAACCTGCGGTGTTATGTTAGAATTAATATAAAACTATAATCCTCGACCCTCACCATAACTTCGGAGTTTTGGTGTAATGGTTAGGGGAACTAAATTTAAGAGTTTTTATCAAAAGAGATGTGAGATCGTACTTTTATTCTGAACTTAATTGTTTGTGTTTGATTTTACTTTGAACTTCTTTTATGGTTTATGTTCGCGTCGGAAATCGATTTCATTGAGGAATCCATTACAATCGTTTATCGATTTACAAGAATCGAAAGAAGGAGCCTTTTTATAAGACTTTTCTTACACAAATGAAAATAAATGAAGACTTCCTAGAAACATACACATGATCGTTTATCAGTCGCTGCTTGCGTGAGATTTTTGCCTGTGCCGGGGACGCGTTAGTCCCTGGACCGCCAAAATCAGATCAGTTGATCTCGTTTCACAAGGGAAGAAAGACTGAAGTAAATAACCTCAACAAAGTGGGATTACTACTCTTCTTAAGATCAAAATGAATTATGATCTCAATGAAACAAACGGAGTGTTGCAGGTCTCTCAAAATCTCCCTCTTTATGCGGAAATTCGCCAAGATCTCGTTAGTCTCTCTTTGAAATTCGTGGATTTTGCTCTCACAATGTCAGCACCTCGCCTCTAAGCTCCCAATTTCAAATCTCTCGTATATAGGGGCCCTAGGGGTGTATTTATAAGCTTCAGATGTTGTGTTTTTGGATAAGAATTCATGATTTGATCTTATCTTCAGTTAATAGTGGCTTAACCACGTTTAGGGATGTTCCCAAGGTAGTTAGGGAGCCAGTAGATCGAACGAATCCTGAGAAAATCATCCGAAAACATGTTGTTGGGAACTTCATTATGTGAGTCACCTCAATGTGACTCGGCATTGTTCCGAGTCACATTGAAGTGACTCGGGATTTCCGAGTCACCTTGAGGTGACACAAGATTTCCGAGTCAACTTGAGGTGACTCGGGATTTCCGAGTCACTTCGAGGTGATTAGGATTTTCTGATTTCCTGGTTTGGTCTTGTTCCGTCATTTTACGCACGTTTCAACGTTTCGTACGCATTCCTTTGTTTCCCTTTGGCATCAGATAATCCTCTTTGACTCAGATGATGACGTTCATCGCCTTCTATTCATCTCGAGTAGTGTTCCGAGAACCTGTAGACTTGGTCCAATAGTTCAGGCGAGGTTCGATCAGTTCAGGCGGACTTCAGAACACGCTGCGAAGAACGGGTCATAACTTTCAAACCGTAAATCGGAATTAGACGAATTATATATCAAAATCGCCTATCTCGACAAGACGGGGCCGGCCAAACCTACCAAAGTTAGGTTTATCACCGTCTGTTTTGCCAAATTCCCTCCGGTTTGAGAGATATCATCGTTTTCGTCAGTTTTGAGCTTCTTTGCAATCTATAAGCAATTTTTTATGTCTGCAGTGTACTTAAGCCGGTTGAATAGAGATTTGAGACTAGCTAGGGCTAAATGTTACTCATTGTTGGAGTTAAGTTAGACTGATTTTCGCTAAATTTCACGGTGCGTTCTTGCAAGCCTACTGAATTGTGTTGGTGACCCATTCGTGAGAAGAAAGAGTGAAGGTAGAATTGCTATTTGAACAACTTTAAAATCTCGTGTGTTCTTGGTTGATTGCTCTTGGTGATTATTATATTGCTTCATATTGTTTTATCGCTTTTATTTTATATATTCCGCTGTATACACGGTGTTTTTGGGAAAAAATAGCAATTCTATTTATCCCGCTTGCAACTCTGATTTGATAGCCTACGCTGCTACGCATGTCGTACGTAAGTTAAATTTAGAAAAAAATTGAATTTCGCTTGAAATTTTGCTATTTTAGAGTAATTCCAAGAATATCACTAGGTAAAGTATGTTTTTTTAACGGTTATTATTATTATTATTATTATTATTATTATTTTCCCTCTGATCTCACGATAAAACCGTGTGATATATTTTGTAGAAATGTCTCTCTCGTACTTTTTGAAACTTTAAACGTTTCATTTCTTGAATTTAAAACATAATGACCTTGTCCCAGCTTTTAGAGAAAAAACAACCATTACACAGGCTTAAGCAAGCATTCTGCAAGCCTTAAGACAAGATACGAGGATCGTCACAAAATACCAGTCCATCTCATGCCCTTGGCCCCACACTGGTCCAGGCACGCGGACACGTGTCAGTAAACCTTGACCAACCCCTCTCTCTTCACTTTGAGCCGAGAGAGAGAGAGAGCCTCCATGTCCTACTTGGTCAAGACTTTTTTGGGTTAAAATTAAGCCTCTCTTCTTCTCTCTTTGTGATGGGTAGGGCCCCTTGCTGTGATAAGGCCAATGTGAAGAGAGGACCTTGGTCTCCTGAGGAGGATGCAGCTCTTAGGAGCTATCTTGAGAAGCACGGCACTGGTGGTAATTGGATTGCTCTCCCTCAAAAAGCTGGTAACTTTTGATGATATTCATATCACTTTTTCTTGAATTTTGCTATTTTGTTGAATTGATACCAAGTCATGACAATATTTGATTTTTCTGTGATACCCATTTCTCATTTTGTTGATTATTTTATGTGGTCCCCTGTTTTATTGAATTTTGATCAAATTCATAGCTTACCCATTTCTTTTTTTCAAGAAATTCTGTTGATCAGTGCGAGTATTGATTCTCTATGATACCCATTTCTCATTTTGTTCAGTTTGATTGAACTTTGATTGAAGTTCGTGACTTACCCAATTCTTTCTTTTTGAAGAAATTTTGTATAATCAATGGTGGTATTGATCTTTACGTGATACCCATTAATTTCTCATTTTGTTGGCTTTTTGATGTTTTTATTGTTTGATTGAGTTTTGATCAAGTTCCAAGCTTACCCATTTTTTTTTTCTTTGTGAAGACTTTTGTTGTAATCAGTGATAGTATTGATTATTCTGTGGTATCCAGTTCTTATTTTGTTGACAATTTGATGATTTCTACTGATTAATTGAGTATCGACCTAGTTCATAGCTTACGGCCATCTCTTCTCTTTTTGAAAGAAAAAAAAATTGTTTAACAAATGATAGTATTGATTTTTTTTTCTGTGATGCCGATTTCTCTCTGTTGTTGATCTTCAGATAATTTGTACCATTTAATTGAGTTTCGATCAAGTTCATGGCTTGCCCATTTCGTTGTTTTTGACAATGACACATGTTTTTTCTAGTAAAGTTCCCAGTTTTTATTTCACTAGCCAACTTTTCTAAACATTGTCAAAAAGCTACTTTGATTCTCTAGCTCTTTCTATGTTTTGTTGAGTTGTAAGTTCTAGGTTAATACCAAAAGGTCATCTTGTTCATATTCTAGTCCAATTCAAATCTATAATCAATTACCATTTTCAGATTCTCCTAGGTGTTGAAAACTCTCCACCACATTCTCCTTTTTCTTGATTAGAAGTTTGATTAAGCTCACAGCTTCACCTTTTTTCCTTTGTTTTATTAATGCTCATTTCCTTTTAAAAAGTAAATTGTTTACTTTTCAATCTTTTTGTGCTCTGTAAGTTCTAGGAATGCTCCTAAGTTCATGTTCAAAGTCTACAAATTATCTTAAAAGAGTCTCCTTAATTAATTTCTAAAACTCTGCAAAAATTTCTATTTGCAGGCTTGCGACGTTGCGGGAAGAGCTGCCGCCTTCGGTGGCTGAACTATCTCCGGCCTGACATAAAACATGGCGGCTTCACCGAAGAAGAAGATAACGTAATCTACACTCTCTTCAGAAACATTGGCAGCAGGTATAAGCTAAATAATAATTAATAGAAAAATTAACCCATTAATCCTTAGTTAGATCCTAATTAATTTGTGGTGTTAGGTGGTCCGTTATAGCCTCTCATTTACCTGGAAGAACTGACAACGACGTCAAAAACTACTGGAACACCAAACTCAAGAAGAGACTGTTAACTCCAGCGCCAGCTCAGCAGGCTCCACCGCCATCAGCAGCAGCGCCACCACCGTTTCCGTCATTTTCCGGCGACCCTTTTGACAATGGATTCATAAGTTTCGGCGAGGAGTCATACAGATTTCTCTCAGAGCTCCCTCCATTGCCAATGCCAGCTGCCAATGTGAAGACTGAAACTGACAGCTCAGCAGCCTCGTCGTCGGTCGAGAACTGGTCCGCTACCGGTGCGTCCACCGTCCACGGGGACACTTTTCTCTCAGAGCTTGGGTTTGATTCTTACAGTGAGCTCCTCAGTGGTTACGGAGAAGTTAGTTATTAACTAGAACGTTCAATGTTTAATCATGATAGAAACAGTAGGATTAGCTGGTGATGATGTAAAAATTAATTTGTGGGCTTGACATCTAACTTCGTATTATCTTGATTACGGTGTTAATTAATGTTATGTTTTGGATTTTAATGAAGTCATGGGATTGGCAATGAAGTCAGAGGTTCATGAAATTTGCATGGAGGCTGCGATGACCAATTCAAAGATATAAAGCATTGTGAGCAGAGAGATTCCCTTCTGTTGATGTGCTTTTTAGCGTCAACATTCTAAAATTTTTAACTGCATACATGTACTTTTTTGTAATTTTTTAATTGCTGAGGCGGTTTCCTCCAAATTTTTTTTCTTCATGCAAGAGCCATGAGGGATCGAGTTGAATGTGTCAGAGGATCAACATGGGAGAAGAGAACCTTTCTCAGTCATGCTCATAGCACCTTCGTTTCTTTTTGTTCAGCAGTCTGTCATCTGCACAATATGGACCCCAAAATTTTATATTATTTTAGATTCAAGTCTTTTTGCCAAAGATTGAATAAGATATTAACCAATTTTTTAATACATAATTTTTCTGAAAAATGACGTACACACCTTGCTTGAATAAGATATTAATCAATTTGTTAGTACATAATTTTTCTTTAAAAAAATGAGGTGCACGGGTTGGTGGTGAGTGCAAGTCATGTACAATCTAGTGTTTTAAATTAATAACATACTTCAATTTGGGGTCCCCAAAAAGAAAATTAGTTTTCTAATAGAGCATGAGACTAGTTATTTCCATATGCTTTGTATTTTGGTCAAACCGTGTACAAGGACATTTCATCTGCCAGAAGTTCAGAGTGCAGGACCAATGAATATATAGATTAAAGAGATTAATGAAAGAGGAAGAAAATCATTATTTGGTTACTGAAAGTACGTTTTGTGAAAAAACACACACACACACACACACTAGGCAATAAACTGTTGATGAATTAGTAGAAGGATTCTTTCCCCCACAAAAATCTTTTTTGTGCTTCTGTTAACGTATCAAGCTCTTGATAGTTTTCTGAATGGATGCCTAAAATTACTTAATTAGATCCAAAAACTCAATCTCCATGCTGGAGCAATCAGACAATACATTGAATATGGTTTCATTGTTTAATGCAACCCTACTCCAAATTAAAAGAAAAAACTCTCAAGTGTATTTAGGACGTGATAAATTAATAGAAATATAGATTTTGATTCAAAATAATTTGAAACCCTTAATTTGATATTTAAGATCTTAATTTAAAAATGTAATTTGTAGACTGACATAAGAAAATTTCCTTTGTTGAATTTTTTCCTTTAACTATGCTCTGTTTTTTTTCTGACAATGGATATGATTTAGTGTACTTGTGAGCAAAATAAGCAGCTACTTTATCTTTAGGAATATGCATCAACAACTAATCAAATTATCAACAATGAAAATTCAAAATGCTTCAAATTTTAGTCTCCTATGTCAGTTTTGACCAACTGATCAAGCCTTTTTATTTCTCTTTCCTCCAACTCATCATCAAATGAAAATCTTATTATAAGAGGGGACCAACCTTTCAATATCTTATATTTTGGTGGTCAGGGTTCTATAAATTGAGCTGCCTTTTCCCCTTGCACCTTGTATTCTCAACAACCTTTTCTCTAACATGAACAGGACCTTTGTTTGTATTCTCAACACTCGGTCTGCTGCATTTTTGGAACCGGGGGAAACATTCAAAACAGTGTGGGGCTCTCTTGCCATGCAAATATGTTTGACTGTACAAAATTTGTGTACATAATATCTTCATTTGATAGTTTCAACTTGGTGAAAATGCCAAGAAAATGTGCACTCTATGACCAAGTGTCTTAGTGTATACTATGTTCTAGAATACTTCAAGAGGCTTATGTGTTTAATTATGCAGTAGGGTCACTAGTCGACCTGCATGGATACCACTTGTCTCCTCTAATGAAGATGACAATGTACTAATTGTGTGCTTAAACAAGGGTTAATTACGGATAGACTATCACCCAATTGCAGATAGACCCCTATTAGTACTAGTATAATCGTAGATGACCCTAAGTAGTGGTCCTTTTGAGAGTTAAAGTGAAAAAACTGGATTTTTGGGGGAGCACTAAAGATCCAAATTTATTTGAGGTTTAAGGAAATAAACTCTGAAGTTTTGTATGACCATTTAGCATATGATGCCAAGCCAGGATAATTACCAAATTGAACAAACAAAAATGGGTTGTGTATTTTTTTGCATCTCCGAGCAGTCAGCTTCTCTGATTTTCTACACTTCAAATACCAAGCAAAGCTATTATTTAGTTGTGATATAGTTGTCCAGATATGGGAGTTTTTCACGATTGCTATGCTTCTAAATTTTTCATGGAGGCCAAACATCAGGAAAGTTTGATATTTCACATATGATCACATACTGATAAATGATTAAAAAATATAAAACACTCAGTTGCCTTTTTTTTTAAATAAGAAATTGAATATTAAAAAACTCTGAAGTTTTGGTGCAATAGAGTGGACTTTCAGACCCCCGACCAAATTTACATTCGTATATAATGTGGTCTAAGGTACCTTATTTCTATTTTCCACTACACATGTATAAACTTATCCAACTAAGGCTAGTTACAATGGGTGTGTTGAATGATGAATTAAATAGTTGAATGGGTGTAATGGGGGTGTTGAATGGGGTGTTGAAAATGAGGTGGATTAATTAGAGTTGAAAGAATTCAACATGTTGAAAGAGGAGGGAGTGGGACCCACGCTGGACACGTGGCGGGCTCTGGAAGAGAGAGAAGATGAATTATTAGGTGGTGGGGTAGGGTGTTGAATTTTATTAAACAAAACCATTGTAGAGTGTAAAAGTTGAGTGGGTGTTGAATTATTAGGTGGAAGAGAGAGAAGATGATGTGGAGTGTTAAAAAGTAAAAAGTAGGGTGTTGAAAAACAAAACCATTGTTGATAGTTAATAGTTGTAGATTGCTAAAGTTGCCAAGGTGGAAACTTGTTCGCATGTACCTAAAATGGCATGCCTGCTCTATAGTTCAAATATGTATGATAATTCATAAACTATTAAGATTCACGAGAATATATATATATGAACTTGAATATTAATTTTTTCGATGATTGATAAAGATTAATGATCCTTTACAGTCATTGATAGAGAATCTTACAGAGGCTTTTGCAACTAACAAGTAAACAGTTAGTCTTTTTCATAAAGATTAACCAATTGATATGTACATAGCATTCCTTGTCTTCAAAGAATGCTATGTACATATCAATTGGTTAATCTTTATGAAAAAGACTAACTGTTTACTTGTTAGTTGCAAAGAATGCTATGTACATATCAATTGGTTAATCTTTATGAAAAAGACTAACTGTTTACTTGTTAGTTGCAAAAGCCTCTGTAAGATTCTCTATCAATGACTGTAAAGGATCATTAATCTTTATCAATCATTTAGTTGCAAAAGCCTCTGTAAGATTCTCTATCAATGACTGTAAAGGATCATTAATCTTTATCAATCATAAAGATTAATCAATAAAGTGGTACGTCTTTAACGAAGGGATTTCCCTTCGTTAAAGAGCTGAAAACCTTCGTTATTGTATGCTAACGACGGGAAAAAATCCCTTCGTCACCCGTCGTTGAAGCCCTCTTCGCTAAAGAGTCACGAAGGGATATACTACCCGTCATTATAGAGTCTATAACGACGGAACATATTACCGTCGTTAATATTTACGACGGTAATTATCACCGTCGTTACCATCAGTAACGGGGATATTTTCCCGTCGTTACCATCAGTGACGGGATATTTTCCCGTCGTTACCATTAGTTACGGGGATATTTTCCCATCGTTGAAGACTAATTAATGACGGTTGGATACCGTCGTAAAAGTTCTCATAATGGGTAATTAGTAACCCATCAACGACGGTGCTTTCCCTTCGTTGATGAACAAAATACGGTTTATAAAACCGTCATTGTAGACTACAAATTTCTAATATACATTAATAATAAATTTTCCATTCATAAGCAACTATCATATTATTCTCAACGAGACACTAAGATTCACAACAAAAACATATTAAAAATACCCAATAATGAATAAGAGGTAAAATAAAAATTCCATTCATTAATAACATCAATAAATAAAATTCCACCATCCTCAAATATTCAATACTAATAATAAGAGTTAATATCCTAATTGTTCCAAAGAAAAATATATGAAACTTTCTAAAACAAATTAAAATAAAAGTTTGGGGAAGACACATTCTTTCATCTCTAATCATCGTCAAAAGAAGACTCGAGCTACCCCACTCTCCTAATCTTGCATGGATAACCTGAAAATTTTTAAAAAAATCACATAATTAAGATATATCAATTAAGCAAATATTATCTTATTAAGTAAAAATCACATTTTTTAGGACACATTCATATCCAACGCATATTTGATACTTGCACATTTGGATACTTTGCTAGATAGTCCTAGTAGTATCCTAAAATTATATTAATATTCCAAAAAACCGTTAGTTACAAATGCTAGCTTGTCCTTACTTTCGATTTTTCTAGCATCTTGCATTTATCACCCTTAATAAATCACTGTTTGTAGGAAGCATTAACTGTTAATATCTTAGATGACAAATTGTCCCCATTCCTATTCACAAAAACTGTGTGATTGTGATGAGAAAAAGCAGAAGTAACTAAAACATTTTACACAATCACTACTGAAACCAAAATCATTTAGAAGCATGTGCTCTTGATTCTTCAGTTGTTCATCTAACATATCGGGTGCCTTTCTCCAATTTTTTTGTATAAAGAGACATAATACACACTAGAAATATGTGACAAAACTATGAGCATGGTCTGATATTTTATTGTAACATAGAGATTGATGAAATAATGCACTACACATGAATATACCAGTTAACTATAAGATGAGACCCTTTCCAGATTATATGGAGTAATCCAAATACAAAGAAAGTACTAAAACATACCCTTGGAATCTGAACCCCAATGTGCAAGACCACAGTTCACATAATCCTTCAGAATATTAAATCTCTCCCACGAACTAATAATGTCCCAATGCCGTTGTTCCTTAATTTCAGTAAATATCCACGGCTGCCCATGGGTTAGTAATAGTCATTTAATTGCAAGAAATAATAGAGACCT